TTTTGCAGAGTATAGATCTTACATGCAGCCGAAAATAAGTACTTTCGAAAGCCGACACCCTGAGGTAACTGGATCATTTTAGATTTATGCTGCATCATGATTAATTTTACAACACTACCTTATTTATCTTTTCGAAACGAGAACGCGTTTCGAAATTTTGGTTAACATTTCATGTGTTAGCACATCTACTGTATGTGCAAATGCGGCTGACTAGTCCGGATGGCCTTAGGGGTTGCAAAGGGTACTGTTGCTATCGACGATGTCCGCCGTGTGTCCTATAGCATGGCGAGCATATGGACGGGCACTTTATCTCCTACCTCATCCACCTGGGTTTGATTTTAAGACAGGGTTTAGAATGCCGGACACGGAATTGGGCGCAGCGGCCGGCAAAGCTAAATAACCCATCTACGCAGGCCACGCACGATGGGCCAGGTTTTTGTCCAACACTTCAAAAACATACAACACCGTCCTCGGCCAAAACCCTTCCTAACCCCACCACCATCTGTACTCTACCCGGCATCCTCCATACCAGCCTTCACTACCCATCCAATACAACCCCCGATCCTCCGTCATGGCGACAATCTAAACCAATGGATCTCTTAAACAGAGCCTTACTTGGATTCGGTCCCCGGCAACTTCAGGATGACAACGCTTATGTCCCTTCTCGCCCCTGAACTCGAATACAAGGTAGATGGGTTGGCAACCTCTCCCTTCTGCTCATTCGAAGAATACTTTGGGGCCCTTCGACAGATAAACGGATTATTGTATCAATTTCGAAAATATGGCAACGAAAAAAACCTCTTCGGGCTGCTGACAGAATACAAAATTTTCCGGATAATCAAAGAATAAACTACACATAGATTTAGGCTTTTCCCACCATTCACATCATGTTTTATTATTCAAATGTGTCCTACACGCATATTCTCCATGTTTCCTGAATTTCAACGCACACAATGAAAACCCTCTTATCCATTTTTACAGTTGTTTGTCCACGCCTGTTCCATTAAAGGCGGGAGTATTTCTCGGCGCTGGAGCGACCCCCGGCTCACATTGTGCTAATATGGCCCTGGTTAGCACTGCATTTCCGTTGTGATAAACCGTCGCTTCATTTAGCAACAAACCTTCCAGAATTCAGGTAGCGCATATATCCTAATGCCGCATCGTGATTTTTTGAATGTCCCTAGCTGTCGGCCGTTTTAGCAACATTGCTAAGCAGTCCCACGAAAAAAGCAAGAATGCTATTCTTAGGTTTAATTCTTGCGTAAAGCATAAAAGACAATTAGGAAAGTAAAAATATATGTGTCCTATACATTCACTGAGGGAAATGTGCAATATTTGGGACGCATGCGAGCCCGCACTAAAGCCTCACGTAAAAAATCTCACCTGGCTGCGCCGACTGATGACTCTAACGTTTCGGCGGACGCCGTCAGTAAGAGAATATCAGCCGATGATTAACCGCTGGTTTAGGCCGCATTGTGACCAGTTAGGCTTAGTTTCTTTTTTTTTTACAGTGAGTAGCTTTGATAACTGAAGGGCAGCAGGCGTTTGAATATTTGAGCCAGAGAAAAGAGCGAATTTGACGAGTCCTCTGATGGGCCACCGCTGTACGATTTACAAAGAAAATTATTATAAGCATCAGAACACAGACTTCGCATGAGTTGCATGAAAAGTACACGATAGGCAGAAGATAAGGGGATACACTTTAGGCGAAAATGAGGATACTTTTGAGACGTGGAACTGCGCTAGGTGCCATTTCCTCTGCGAAAAGCCCTGGACAAATAAAAAGTGGTCAAGTCATCAGAAGACGGTTTAGAAGCAATGAAAATAAACAAAATCTCTTCAGCAACCCCTGCGGTGGACAAGATAAAAATAAAAAAATAAATTCACAGAAAGCCGAAATTGTCTGTAGGGATGAAACAATAGCTCTCGGAAGACAACTACCTTTGTATTAGGTGGGCGACCACCAGATTTTAGCATTTAATTGGCCCTCGGCCTGGAAGGAATGCAAGCCCTGGAAGAGGATGCCTGCTTGGAGACACAGAAGCGCCAACTAAGGAGTGCAATTTCTTCCACCGTCAAACGTATGTTATGCAACGTACCCCACAACAATCGTGGAACCGACACAGCCAGCGTTGCTATCTCCCGTTCTCGCGCTCAGTGCAACAGCGACTGTGGTAGAGGCAAAATACTTGGGTAACAGAGCTGAAGAAATACAAGATCACGCGGACTGCAACGATATGAAGGACTCGCTCGCCTCATCCAAGGTGGTCTATGGTTACCGCGCTAAAGGAACCCCGCCGCTGCTCGTTTCTGAGGGACCCAAACTCCTAATGGAGAAAACGCAGATTCTGGAGAGCTGGACTGTGATCTTCAAAACTGTCCTCAACCGTCCGTCCGAAAACGACATCGGCCGATCTCTCCAAAATGGAAACTGATGACGCCATGGAACGCCCGCTTTAGCCCCAAGATCAGTCAAAATTTAACAGGTCTTATTAAAAAAGCATAGGACTCCGACGTAATTACGATCGGAGTCTGCAAACATTGCGACCCGCGGCCGATGAACTAGCTCCCATCGCTGGCCCCAGACGTGTGGCAGCAAGGACATATCCCTTAGGACCCGAGGGTAGCTACCATTGTGCACATCTAACAACGTAACAGGTCAACCGCCAATTCTGTGATAATCAGAAATAAATCTCGCTCTTCAACGCTGCGGGTCAGGTCTTACCCGCATGCTCCCAAATCATCACAACAACTGCCTGGAGTATGGACTCCACTCGGGCAGTTAATGTGGATTTTTAAGTGATCGCGGCATCATCGAACTGATTGTCGTGCTCCGGGAAGTGCAGAAGCGCCGTAAGGCATGCATCATCACACCACTGTGAGCCGCGCAGAGCGAACACCTCACACTTGCAGACGCTAGCCCTCCACCCTCCCCCTCCCTCTGAGCTCGACTTGAAAGATGTTCGCTCATTTAAAAGAAGACGAAGGCACGATCACTGAGACAGTGGATTTATTGGCCTTAGCTTTCGGACACGTACTGGAGTCCATCATCAGAGGCTGCTAGAGTGTAGCAACGCGTGAACATTTGTATCGTTGTTCCTTGCCGTGGGGGACTACGTCCGTGGCTAGGTCTGGTTTGTGCCGCCTGGTCCACGATGGTTCCCCGGCGTGGTGACGCGGTTTGTACTTCGCGACGATGTGAGCTGCGACACCTGCCTGCGTGGGCGGAGTGCGTGATAACACGCAGGCAAGTAAATGTGTATATTGACAAAGTTGGTGGTCGACACCCACGCCTCCAACAGTTCTCGCCCCGTCTCGCTGCCGGCTCGGGCCAGTGTCCGCGTGTTGGAGAAGTCGAATTAATGGCCTTCCTCCAGCGTGTGAGTGGCGACTTGAGATAGTGGGTCGCCTCTCCGAACGGCCCGTTTGTGCTTAAGTATTCGTGAGCTGAGACGTCGTCCTGTTTGGCCTGTGTAGTGGCATGGACAGTTTTGGCACATTCTCCTCCTTTCGTGTTCGCTCATTGTTTCTGCGCTTACACAGTCCTTAGGGGTGGACAGATGTAGGGGTTTGAAAGCTCAGTCTCATAAACCTACCGTTTCACTGATCGCCTTTTCGTCTTCTTTTAATAATTCCTATTTTTGGCCACTGGATTAAAACATTGACAATCGTGAAGTATCCATAGTAATGTCAAGAATAATCTAAAACGTACCGTGTGCCAGCATCAAAAGTAACTATAAATAAATTCAACGGACGGAACGATCTCCTAAAATACACAAAATTATATATTTGGGATTGCTCCTGAGATCGCCATTTAAATTTATTCATTAATGACCGGCCAATCTGCTTGCGACGCTATAGCGCTCAGCGCGCCAGACATTTCTTGCCGTGCCAGTAAAAAAGTGCGCGAGGAGAGTGTTTTTACCTCTCTCTTTTTCTCACCGCTTGAGGCATCGATCTAGCACTGTCGAGCGCATATCCCTTGAACTGCTTGCTCGGCTAGTATCCCTAAATGTCACACAAGGAAGCCACCCACACCTCAGCGGACGCAGGACGTTAAATATTGACCTAAAGTAGGTGGGCTAACTCAAGCAATGTCAAACGAAATTCCGATATGCGTTTTCAACTCGAAAAGATTAATTAGGCAGGGTTATAAAACTAATCATCTTGCAGCATAATTAAATAATAATTAAGTTACCACAGGATGCTGGCTTTCGATCGAACTTCCATCCGGCCACATGCAAATACTGTACTCTGTGAAAAATGACTACATAACTAGCATGCATTTTTCACTCTTATTTTCGATGCCTTTAAATATTCAATTATATTTCATGGAAAACATGCAGTATATAATTTATTCGTTTGTTCATTCCGTAGAAAATGACGTCTTCCAATTTTATCCTTTTAGGAAAAATATAATTCGGTTTTCAAAAGCTTCCAATTGCCGAATAATTTTGAACCCGACCAACCGTTAAACCTGCACTCAGGGTTACCAAACTACAAACTCCGAATTCGTCCACCAAATTTTTCCAAGCGTTCAGACGCCGGTCTGATATTTTGCATATTTATAAACTATCCAAGCGGCTTAGGAGGTAAGCCTGACACATAAATACCCCTTTTTCTTCACAACTTGTCGGTGACGAAACACTCTGTCATTTGGAAACCTTCAGAGGAGAGGATGCCTGTGTCCCATTTGAATTAAAGTCTCAATTTCACCCGTAGTTCGGCCATGTTTCGACGGTGAACAACGGTATGAAGCAGTGCTATGCTTAAGTCTTATGTTCTCTGCCACACTGATGGACGTCTATCCTGACGAACGCCTGGGAATCCGCCTCGCTCACGGGACGGCTGACGACCTCCTCACCATTCGCCGGATGTACTTATAATCGCCTTTTTGGCACCTCTCGGGTTTTGTTGCAGTTGTTGGCTTTCCCTTCGTCCTCCAACCGCAGGAGTTATGATGAGCTTGCATTCACTCTGTGCAACCTGATCGACGCCCTTCATTGGCCGTTATTACGTGCGATGCCCTTTCGTCTGCCAAGCTGATGGACACCCTCCACGACTAACTTCCTCCGATCCGCAAAGCTTACAGAGCGGCTGGCCACCTTCTCAACCACTGGCGGATGCACTTCCAGTCGTATGCATCCACATCCACCGTCCACGAAGTTCTCTTCGCCGATGACTTTGTCTGGAGCGCCACCTCACAAGGGAACAGGCAAAGGAGCATGGTTCTATTCTTTGCCGCCTGCGACACCTTCGGCCTGATCATAAACACGGAGAAGCCGGTAATCATGCATCCACCGCCACCCATCAATACCCACAATGCGTCGTTAATCAGCGTGGACGGAACCCAACTGCAAGTGATGGACAACTTCATGTATCTGGGCAACACACTCTCCCGCAGCACCGAAATCGACGATGAAATCGATGACGAAGGCCATCATCATCATTATCACCACCACCACCACCACCACCACCACCACCACCACCACCACCACCACCACATGTGGCTTCGGCTGCACGGGCGACTTGAGTCTGAAACTACCCCGACACGTCAAGCGTCGTGGATGGGAAGGCTGCTGATTGACGCCTACATTCGGTACATGCAGTCGGTCCCCTTGTTTGTGTGTGTGTGTGTGGACGGGCTGAAACAGCACCTCCCACGGCCCTCTCACGCAAGTGAGAGACACGCCGTTCAATCCCCGTTGTGTGAAATCCTGGTGTTTGTGTGTGTAGGGGGGCCAGGTCGTGCTGTGGCGCGCGCAGACATGGTCAGTCGACCATGTCAGCCACCGCGCCCATTCCCCACTCCAGTCTTCTGACCGGCTCGGACTGCGGCTGGGGTGTGGGGATGGGAAGGGAGAGTGAGGTCGACGACTCAGCGCACTTTCTCCTCACTATAAACAATCTGACGCGCTCGAAGCTATCACGGTGCGCTAAAAGCCGTGGCTTGGAAGGCTGCCTACTGACGGGATAACTTGGAAATCACAGTCGTCCCAGTGTTGTGTATGTTTGTGTGGAGCGGCCGTCTGGCGGTCTAGGAGTCAGGCTGCAATGGCTCCTTCTTAATGTGGCCTTCATGGCACTCCCACTCTGTGGATCCCACCCAGCCGTTGGCGGCACGCCTAGGCGCGGCTTTGGCCATGCCAGCCACCTGCGCCCTCCTCCACCTCTGATCTTGTAAATTATGTCTTAACACGGGATCAGGGTGAGGTAAGATAAGAAAGTGCGGTAGGTGCTCCGAAAGTCTGCATTCACTATAAACTATGTCACGCGCAAGTCAGTGTCCATGTTCTCACCTTCTTGTGAAGCACGAGGTGGACATCATTGGAAGCGGCCGTCGAACTGTCGTGTGCCAACGGGGCAAAAACTGCCCTCACTGACGCAGTCTTGATTATATGTGTGGTTTGTTTCTCAACAGGCAAGTGTCCGTTTTAACTTCAACTATTCCCCATTGGGCCACCACACCAGGTAGGCTGTCTCATGCCATAGTGAATGAAAAGAAGTCAGCATCAATCCATCTCTTCATCATGACAGTCATCATCCTAATAATCTTCTTGACTTGCCATAACGTTGAAATCGTACTGTTCGTTTCCTTACTCACGATTGGGCGTCGAAATTTAGAAACGATCTCTAATAACTCGCAGACCGATATCAACGTGAGGATCCAATATCCATGCTCATAGATAAAGTCCCAAAGAGAATAAAAACACATGCAAGACGATATGCCAACAGCCTACATCCTGAGTGTAGATTCCACGAGATTTTCTCGAGGCTTCGTGATATTATTTACGCCTTTGAATTGACTGAGATGCGATGATTTGTTATATAGAAGCAATGAAGGAATTAATAAATTCAAGTCTGAAAACGATTAGGAACGGGCAGCGGTTGCGAGAAATGACCGTATTTAATTTAAAACTATAGTCTATCAATGCAAACTTACTTCTCCAGCCTTCGTGGAAGGGAGTTTACATTGCTGGTGGCACTCGAGTCTGGAATTGGCCGCAAATTTCCAAAGTCTTGACACTGTTGATTGTTTAATTTACTTATTCAGAATGACCATCGGACTACTTTCAACCGGCACTTAGCACGTATTAAATATTTTGGCATCAAATTCGTCAACCAAATCTTTCCAAGCGTTCAGACGCCGGTCTGATATTTTGCATATTTGTAAACTATCCAAGCCTCTGAGGAGGTAAGTCTGACACCTAAATACCCCTTTTTCTCAACACTTTGTCGATGTCGAAACATTCTGTCATTTGGAAACCTTCAGAGGAGAGGATGCCTGTGTCCCAGTTGAATTAAAGTCTCAATTTCACCCGTAGTTCGGCCATGTTTCGACGGTGAACAACGGTATGAAGCAGTGCTATGCTTAAGTCTTATGTTCCCTGCCATACTGATGAACGTCTATCCTGACAAACGGCTGGGAATCCGCCTTGCTCACCTGACAGCTGGCCACCTCCTCACCATTCGCCGGATATATTTCTAGTCGCCCTTTTGGCACCTCTCGGGTTTTGTAGCAGTTGTTGGCTTTCCTTCCGCCCTCCAACCGCAGGAGTTATGATGAGCTTGCATTCACTCTGTGCAACCTGATCAACGCCCTTCATTGACCGTCTTTACGTGCGATGGCCTTCCGTCTGCCAAGCTGATGGACGCCCTTTATGACGAACGTCCCCCGGGATCCGCATCGCCTACAGGGCGGCTGGCCACCTTCTCAACCACTGGCGGATGCATTTCCAGTCGCACGCCTCCACAGTCAACGTCCATGAAGTTCTCTTCACCGATGACTACGTCCGGAACGCCACCTCACAAGGGGACATGCAAAGGAGCATGGATCTATTCTTTGCCGCCTGCGACACCTTCGGCCTGATCATAAACACGGAGAAGACGGTGATCATGCATTCACCGCCACCCATCAATGTCCACAATGCGTCGTAAATTAGCGTGGACGAAACCCAACTGCAAGTGATGGACAACTTCACGTATCTGGGCAGCAAGCTCTCCCCCAGCACTGAAATCAACGATGAAATCGATGACGAAGGCCACTATCATCATCATCATCATCATCATCATCATCATCATCATCATCATCATCATCATCATCATCATCATCATCATCATCATCATCATCATCATCATCAATGCCCATCAACACTACACACAGTCCTGACACACCAACTCCCCCTAACCACCAATGTGGACTCCATCCCCACCGGTCCTCATTGCAATCACACACTGACTTCACACATCGGCCTAGTCAATCACTTGCGAATTCATCGCACAGAGACTGACGAACCAACGCACGGAGCACCAACCTACACCCGCCGCATCCGCCCCGCACTGACCCCGTGCACACTCATGCACCGCATGGGCCTATTCGGCCACATGCTCATCCACGAAAACATGCGGTAGACAACCGCCGGCTGTATCACACCATCCCTCCCGCACCACCACTACCAACCGATCACGCATCCATACTCACCCACCGCAAGCACCCAACTGCCACCTTCCATGCAAGTGGGAAGTTTGCATCTCGACTTGGTGCGCATGCGGCTTCGGCTGCACGGGCGACTTGAGTCCGAGGCTATCCCGACACGTCAACCGTCGTGGGTAGGAAGGCTGCTGATTGAAACCTCCCTCACTTGGTTCACGCAGTCCGTCCGGTCGTGTGTGTGTTGTGGGGAGTGGTGGACTGGTGAGCTGTGAGACGGACTGAGACAGCACCTTCCACGGCCATCTCACGCAAGTGAGAGATACGCCGTTCAACACCGTTGTGCGAAATCCTGGTGTGTGTGTGTGTATGTGTGTGTGTGTTTTGGGGGTCAGGTCGTGCACATGGCACACGCAGACATGGTCAGTCGACCATGCCAGCCACCGCGCCCATTCCCCACTCCAGTCTGCTGACCGGCTCGGACGGCGGCTGGAGTGTGGAAATGAAAAGGAGAGTGAGG